TAATAATGATAAAAGAGAAATTTCAACACCAATTACAACCTAGATCGGTTTGAAAAATATTCTTCAATCTTTAGCTGAACAGATTTCACACACAGGTGACCACGAAGAAACGGTAAATGGAACTCCTCCATACTCTTGACTGAACGGCCTTAATTCGTCGTTGCGAATTTTAGTCTTTTCTCTTTTTTCTTCAGCGATAAGTTATTGTCGTATATACTTGTCTTGGTTTGAACGTGTTCACGAATCCAAATATTTGTTAAAATCTGATAAAGAGCATTCGTCATCGTTGATCACCCACACGCAATTTGCTAAATTTGGTAGCAAAAAATCACAGCTAGGTACATCGACAAATATAAGTAATAGCAAGCGGCAGTGACTTTTGTTTCAGTTCTCTCGAGTACTCTTAGATAGTGTTTATATATGATCCGTATACCTTCTTCATACCTATCATTGAAATATACGTAAGATATACATAAAAGGAAACAGTAATTCGTTGAATAGTTATGAGTTGATCAGCAAGCCAGAAGATCATTCGAATATATATATATGTAAACTGTGTCACAGGTATTGCCACTTATAACCATTGGGTCGAGATTCATGCTTCATCAGTAATACCTGTGTACCTTAATGCAAAAAGTCAGAAGAAACGTTGATGCGTACGAGAGTAACTCCACATCAGGAAATTAATGTTTCGTCATAAATGTGTAAAAAGACACAGATAATATTTTTGATTTCGCTTAATCTCAATGAAATATTCATATGACCTTCCTAGCTCATTACCGAATGTATGTGACATGCTGTTCTCATACTGAAAACGTTATACACTGCTTTAGGAGACCGTGTATACGTTTAATTGAATATGCTTTTTTTTTTCTTTGAAATTAACTTCATGGTCATCTTGTTGTAAAATCGGATATTATCTGGCGATGATTTTATGTTTCGATACAACCGTCGTAGCCTTAAATAAAAAGCGTCACATACATACGATTTTGGCACTTTTCAGAACTCTACTCATAAAATTTCCATACTTTTTGTACCAAATATAATACCAATCATTTCAATTGCACGCAATGCCATATAATAAGTATACTTTGTAGTATGTACAATCAACATTCGTTAAAGTCTGAAATTTACGAACACCTCTGAAAAGTGCTGAGAGCCACTACATAATTCCTTATATTAATCTCAAAATCGGACGAGCAGCGAGTAAATGACGCTATGTTAGTTGTCACATTAGTTTTTCTTATAAGGCTACATCCAAAGGCTTACATTACACGAATGTTAGGGAACGTTGCACAAAAAAATATCCTTTATACGCATTATCAGAGTTAATATTCCAATATGTCATCGGATGCAGTTAACTTTCAAACGTCAACGTGAGATCAGCATCTGATGTCTATATTGAAATATTAATTGCATTAGTAAAATCGAAATTAATTACACTTAGATTATAGTCTTTATAGTAATAAATTTGAATAGTCTAAGTCTTGTTTAGGCATAAATCAGATGCTTTAAAAGCACTCGTTACTGTTCTTTAAAACTGTAAATCTTAAAAATGTTATATCATTGAAATCTGTATCGTTTGTCTCTAACGACTGGTAATCGCTTTTCTTTCGTTTCATAGCGGTTGTTTTGTTCAACTGTAAATCTCAAAACAATTTAATATAGCATTCATGGTACAGCATTAGCAAATATCTCCACAACAATTGTCCATATAAAATAAGATATTAAGAGTAATTGAATAGATTTGAAAAATATGATTTTTCAATATATATGCACGACATTATATTCCTACTAGAATTCTCTCCCTATGTAACAGCCAAAAATTGTACAACTTTTCTGTGTACACTGTGATCTCTGAAATTTTTTATACTAAGGATCACATTCAATACTTATTGACTTTTGTAATCCTTTATTTTCATAAGAATTATATTATTAACCTTTTTTTTTATTGTGCTGACATGAGATAGGTCTCACATTAGGACATCACTGTCTCGCTTACCACTCTTGTTACTCTTCCATAAATCTTTTATGCAGTCTATATTACTATCGCACTATGTAATATTAAAAACTGCTCTTGTATCATCAGGTTTCTTTCTACATTTCACTATATCTTTTCTCCTAGCAATGAAACACAAATCACAAATTATGACACAGAACTTATAGCATTGTGAGGAGAACCCATTTGTGTTAACACTTTATCCAGCCACTGTAAGGGTCCATGTAAGTGTGCTTCTATCCAACATGGAGTTGATGTAACATCTTGTCGATGGTATTCAGCACCCCATCCTTTAACAAAGGACATTCTGAAAAAATACAATGGATATTGTTAATTTCATTCCAAAATGTGAACCTTTTATGTTATTATAGATCTTACCTTATAGTACACATTTTTGTTAATTCATACACAGCTTCAAACCCATGATTAACGCTTTGCGAGAGCAGCTGGGCAAATTCCTGATTATTAAATATCTTTAATGAACATCCCGGTGGAATTTTACAAACTGTACTAGGATGAAATCCATGATGATGATTACAATTTCTAGATTGAACGAATATAGCAGAGTCAGAAAGGCATTCTGCGTATACTTCGCCACCTACATAGTATAGATGTACTCCTTTGCCTATGTGTCTTCTTGTATTTTCAATAGTAGAATTTCGATTTACATTAGATAATTGTCCAAGGCAAAAACGATCAGAATTGTTGCTTGGGTTTGTGAAGCCATCCACAATAACAGAGTGGGAATGACAATGAAACACCTCACCCACTCTACAATTTAATTCATAATAAGCAATGGAGGCCCAATAAGGTGGTTCTTGGTAACACACTGGAGCCACCTCTGCTGAACCACTTGTATCCATCGCTACTGGATCAGGTGGTGGTGACTGTCCAGGTTGTGAACCATCTTCAGGTGGAGAATAAGCTGGAGGTGGAGTTTCTGGTAATCCATTAGTACCATACGGACTCTGTGGATTCGGTGATGTTGTACTTCCTGGACTTGGCACTGAACCAACAGAAGACATAGGTGAAGTTGGATTTACACCTCCAGTGGATCCAGCATTAAATCCACTAGAAGAATAAGATACATTGTGCGGCATTGTTGGTTCTGCTATTTGTTGAAATGGTAACAATGAATGTCCAGGTGCATATTCTGAATGTCTAGGAACCAGTACTGGTGGTAGTACTGGACTCTCCACTCGCTTGTAGTGGTAAGGGTTGATACAAACTTCCTTCTGTTTTGCAGAGAAAGGATACTGACACAATTCTAATGGCTTCAATTCATGGTGCGACTGCAAATCTGGCCACCTCCATACTCGACAGTAAATAACATGTGGCAAACCCTTACGATGGGATACTTGTAATCTACCATCTAAACTTCTTGGAATTGTCACACATTTGCTAGGTGTTCCAGGACAGCTTAAAGCACGCTCCAATTCCTCTATTGCACCTTTTCTCTTTTTCAATTTCTTTACTAAGGAATCAACTGCTTTCTCAGCCCATTTTTCTTCTTCGTCACCCTGCTTCCAACCAAGCAACTTTTTCACGGCAGGACTAGTAAATGAAAATAAACTATTCAACGAAGACATAGGTCCAGAGCTTGACGATCCTTCTTCATCATCCATGTTAAAAATACTGTAATACTTAAACTATATCTGTGACTTTCTTATGGTATTCCTGTTCCTAAACAACCTGTAATTTAAGACAATCTGTCAAGTATCCTGAATGTAGAATTTTTCAATACAGTTGACACAAATATTTCTTGTACGTTCACTACTGTTGCACAAACAAAAAATTTATACACGGTATATTACGTGGCTTTCAAAATCTCTTTGATTCAGCTCATAAAGATATCACTAAAGCTAGTCGAGCAATGAAACAAATATTGTGTTATAACGTGAGGTTAGATATCACCAAAATTCATTGCACGTATCACGCGGAGCGCGGAATGTAACAGAGAAACGACAAAAATATACGTTTTATGGTCTTTCAATGGAAAAAAAAAATGAAACTTGAAGAAAAACTAATTGCATACACACTTACGCAGAATTGCCTAGTGATCCAGCATTGTTTTTACTACAGTCTCCCACTCCTGTTACCACATTCTTGACGCCAACCTCTCGCCATCACGATCGAAGAGGAATACCCGTAAATTTATCGATTCCACACTTTGGTTTTATCGTGTTCTTAATGACAACAATTTTACGAATACGATAAACATCTAAGCAAATTTTCTTGTAACACAGTATAGCCACTCGCAGCGTTCATAATCTTTCTTTCTCTCTCTCTCCCTCTTTCCTCTTATCTTCTGGCTGTCTTTCAATCTCTATCTCTTTCACTCGTTTTGGTGGCGGAGCCAGGGTATTCGCGACGAGCAGCAATAGTTAACAGAGAACATTCAGAATTTCAGGAAGTATTCGCAAGCTTCTTCACGTACTCACCGAGAATCGAACACCTAGAAATAATTTCGATGCAGCGGAATTGTTCGATAATGCTTCGTTCTTTTCATATGTCGCTTGCAGTTTCGACTACAAATATTTATCCATGGAAAGAACGAAACGTCGTATAACAGTATTATGGCGTTGCAGGAACATCATGGCGCCGTGTTTATGTAGACCGAACACACCACGAGAACTGTTACACACTGACCATGCCGATTCACATTGCTTATGACTCCCGGGCTCCTCGGATGCTTCGCTCTTCTGTCAATGGACAATTTTCGTTGCGCGCTTTATTTTCTATACGCGATCATAATTTATGTATACGTTCGCGTATAGCAATAATATGCACCCGTCGCACTACGCAACGACAATGTATTCAACGATAAGGGCTGATCGTAGATGACTCACTTGAAAAAAATGATACATTAGAAATCGTCATCGTGGCTTAACGCTACCAGGAAAATGTTGTGCCTAAATTTCAGAAACATTTTTCTCACGTGCATCGTTATTATCGATTAATTGTCGTAATTAATAAAATTCTTTCGCAAAATTCGCGTCTCGTTATATCGATCAAAGAGTAAAATCAAAAAGCCGTGATTGGTACGGACTGAACACGGGAATGGAGGGAGATTTGATTGTTTCATTTATCTGTTGTAACTATAAATATAAAAAACAGTATATTTGAGCGATAAAAAGATATTATACAATTCTATAAAATTTCGCACGTGTAAATATCCATTAGTAAACGTACTGTTTCGCTAGTGCCCTTAAAAATTTCGCCTTACGAATGTTTGCTGCTTCCCGCTGTATCTCCTCGTTATTATTGGAATTTAATTCCAATAAACCAATTACTTTAATCTGCAATAATAATCCGATATAGCTTGTTCTCTTTCAAGCGAACGTTCTGCGCAACCTTACTAACCGCTAACTGTTTCCTATGATGTTCACCGCGTTTTGTGTGCAAATGTATCAGATATTCGAGTATTGTTGTGTCCCAAATACAATGGTAATATGCATCCATAGCATCAGCCGGTGCGCAACTTTTCTGATCACTCGCTGCCATTTTAAACGCCAAAGCATAATCCACTTCCTCTAAAAACTGGCATAAAACAGCAGCTTGAGTGTAACATTGTAAGTGGGCGCAACATTTGATCATACGCCTGTAAACGAGATCGTCGATCTGCGATCGTGGCACCGGTTGACTAAACAAATCACTAGATACCATGATAGCTTCTAAATAATATTTCATTGCACTCTCGTAATACCCTAGAACTGAATATGCTACGTTAATATTATTTTCCATGGGGATTCAGCGTATTTACTGTTACTTCAAAACGAACCGAAGTTCAGATCCCCCATCAACCTCAACCACGGAACGTTACTTGGATAATATTTCAAAGCTTGCGACAATAGTTGGAATAGTAACTCTCCTATGGTCCTAATGTTATAAGAATTGGCGCTGTAAAGCATAAACATTTTATCGTTGATCGATGCAACTGTAAAAGTATATGTTAACTTACTTTGGTACACCGGCCGGCCAAAGAGAAAGATACTGTGTGTGCAATTCAAGGCTAGATTCATCGCGCAAAACGTTACGTAAACGTGCTAACAATGAAATAACAACAGTAAGAACCATAGGTTCACGCAGTCTACTGAGAGTACTTCCAATGCTAGCAACAACGTCTCTTGAAGCGCTACCGGCAGTCCCGCTGTTTCCACTATTGCCACGTTTTTGTGGTTGATCTCTGCTGGGTCCAAATGCAGCTAAAACTGTATAAAAGATATATTTAAAATTTGATGAGAATCCGCAGTATATACTACCAAGTAATGCTTGTAAATCTGCAGACCCATGTCCCAGGCTTCCCTTGGAAATTTTCGTCCGCTTTTGTACTTCATGATATCTTGACAGACGCTGCTGATAGCTGCAGCAAATTCAGTATAGCTCCAACGCTTTTCTAAGCTAGTGAGGTAATCCCATTCAGCCATGTTTAAAAGAAAAACAGTGCAGTACTCGATGATCTCTTGTCGTGGTATAACTTGATCCGTTGCTTGTAATGCTCCAAGACATTGCTTGCATCTTGCAACTAAACTCTGCATGTCACCTGTAATACTTTTTTTCTTTAATCGTTTATGATAATAAAAGATTTGCTTAAGTATACTTACATATATTTGTCGCTGGCCAAGCGTAAAGACACCTCCATATTTCAACGAGGAGGCACTCCCAATTTACTAGTTTACATAGCTTAAATATTAACGTGTTTCCACTTTGAGAATGTTGTTGTGCCTCTTTCTCCAGGACAGTCAAGGTCTCGATCGCACCTTCAAAATCTTTGAGCATTACCAATTCTCGACTTTTAGCAAGTAATACGTATGCATAGTCTTGAAGAAACCCCCTAGGAAGGGACATTACAACACTCTGCAATGGAATGGGTAATTCCCAACAACTGTTCACGTGCCACAAAGCTTTCATTCGTGGTTTCCCATCTAAATGTATCAATGTTTCGTGAATTTCAGAGGTGTTGTAAGACTGTATTAATCTCTGTTCCAATTCAAACATTTCTACTCTTGTACTCTCTGAAATTAAAGATATTTAATACAATGTTATAAATTGATACTAAATTTCTGCTTTGTCTTAAAAAAAGTTAATATTTATATACTAACTGGTGTATGTTACCAATGGAATGCCCCAATCATTCTTCAGCAATAAATCTGGTAATTCCACGTCTTCAACAGCGACTGATTTTTTAATTTCGTCCAGTTCCTTCTCATTAAATAATGCTACGTACCCAGGATCCTCAAGTACCTTAGAAGCAACTCCATTAATATTGCTAGTATGTATAAGGTAAAGAAGAAAACGAGAGATACGTTTCTTATCAATTACAGAGGTCTTTTCTAAAGCATTACTGAGAGCCTGAAACAATCTGCACATAGTATGAAGAATAAAAAAATATATAAAAACAATTTGAAGTAGGAGGAAGAATGATTATACCCAAAAGAAAACATCAACTCCTTTAGGACCAGCTGCTTCTATTTCTGTCACATAGTCACCAAGAATAATACTACCATCTAAGATTTTCCTTACTAAATTTAAACATTGAATTTGAAGTAAAAGATCACGAGCTACAACAATCTTTCTATTTACAGACCCTCCTTGTATATCAAGCTCTAAGTTATCTCTATAAACCTGAGGGATTTCTCTTGTAATGTTGTCAGCTTGTAAGATCTGCAATATGTTCTAAAATACAAATGCATTATTAGTATACTATGTATATTCTTTTTACATTCATTCTAAAATACTTACAGTATACTGATCTTTAATTGATGCCTGCAACTGTTGAGTGAGACTTGCACTTATTCCATCTACAGGAACTTCACATGCTAAACAGCAGCCATCTAAATATTCCTTTCTCACTTTACAATATAGCCTACTTTCTGAAGCATTAAGTTTATAAAATAATTCTTTTGCTTGTATAATGTGACGCTTTGCTTCCTGATACTCCTCTTTCAGTAGGTGGAATTTTGCCAAATCATAATGTATCTACAAAGAAACAATATATTAGAAGAACTATTAATGAAAAGTTATACTCCATTTTAGAAAGGTAATACCTGACACTTAAATTCATCGATATTTATAGGGCACATATTCTCCCAATTCTGTTTAATCTCTGTACTGTCCTCAGTTAATATTTGGAAAGTATCGAAAGACAAAATTTTTGGACTCAATTCTTTAGTTTCTAAAACATTGTTTAAAACATTTACACTGGTAGATATATGTGCTTCTAATTTCCTAATTATATCATCCACTATTCCTGGGGGTACATATGTTGACTCTTGAATACCTGGACTGATGTACATAGGTATGATAAACATAATCCAGAAAACATTAATTAAATGAAAATATATGATCTTACATATGAAGAAATTGTTGTTTTGACTGTTTATTATTTAAGGCTCTGTAAGTAATTGCTCTAATATGCCACCTATGATATAAAACTATTGTGAACAGAGTTTGGTCAGATATCGTTTGCAATGAAAATTCAGGTACAGCAGGTATTTCAATGGTCATGTCTGATGTCACGTAAATAAGATCTTGAAGTAATGTCATTTGTATTGGCAAAGGTAACTTTCTCTCTAGAATGTCTAAATCCCATTTTAGATGTGTAGCTACTTTTAGAGCTAAAATTTTTAATGCAAGGTTTCTGTGGCTCCATTTATGAGCAGTGTTGGGTATCGCTTCATTAGTTTCAGCATCAACAGTTTTCGCATCATTCTCCTTCTGCTCGGAGTTTATTGTTATAAACTTTACTATCAGATCTGTAGCTGAAGGATCTATAACGATAATGGGAATGCAATTAAAACGATGATTTCCTTTAAATACGTTCAATTGTTTCTAATAGTGAGACTCATAAGGTTAGCTTATTATTTACCAGGAGAAGGTTTCGATAAATGTTGCTGCAATAAAGACGGATTTAACAAGAATTCGAACCATAAAATCGTCTCAGGTGAAATTGGCACTGTGCCTGGTCTTAACAAATCCACATCCATCATATCATTCTTTTTAATGTCTATAAATTGAAAGTTGGACGAACCACTGTTGTAATCATATGGCTTTAAAAACACGCTTTGAAATCTGTCTCAGATGTCGCTAAAATCAAATGTTTCTCTATCAATTTTGTTTGATAAAGAGAGAGACAAATGGATACCGCGAGCGAAAGGCGCGCCATTTCAATTAATGTTTGATCAATAATAAGAACACATCGTCAGACTTCGAAACATTCATATTGTTCATTTAATAATATTGTAGAATCATGGTGAGATTAACTACTGAATATATAGATCGAAAGTGTTCTCAGATGCTACTGAGCAAATCCCTCAGCAAGAAAGTAAAGAAACGCGAATTGCATAATGCAACGCACTTACGTATGAACAATATGTCTATAAGTAGCATTGTAAGATATTTTTATAGAATGCTAACAATATTTAGTTAGATTTCAATTATAATCAATGCACTCTTATCATAGGGGAATTTTGGTGATTACAAAAATCTGAAAGTAATATATTTACAAAACAATAATATAACAACTATAGAAAACTTGCACTTTGCATTCAACTTAACGCATCTTTATCTGCAACATAATGTGATAAAGAAAATAGAAAATTTAGATTCCCTCGATAAGCTTCAAACCTTGTACTTGGGATACAATAATATAGTTGTACTAGAAGGACTTGAAGGTTTGAGGAATTTGAATACTTTGGATATAGAGAATCAAAGGCTAAGTCCTGGAGAATCATTGTGCTTTGATCCAAGAAGTATATATACTTTGTCTGTAAGTGTTCAACAGTGCAAAGTTTAAATTGTGTCTTGTTACATATAAAAAGGTATTTTGTTACATTAATTTCAGACTTGTTTACAAGTACTCAATATTTCTGGTAACAGAATAATATCTCTGAAAGGTATCAAGAACTTACATAAATTAGAAATTTTGGATGCCAGAAACAATTCTGTGGAAGATATTGATGATCTAACTGACACTATAAGCTTCTTAACTTCTTTAAAAGACTTATCTTTGCAAGGCAATTCTGTAACTCAATGTTACAGATACAAAGAAAATCTTATTGCTAATAATGATACAATAAGTGGGTTTATGCTTGAGCAATTTTATTTTGAATCCGTAAGTTATACTAATAAATGTGTTTTTATAGAAAATTTCGATGGGAAAACGATAACAGATGAGTGCCGATGTTTTATGAAGAGATTTAAGATAGAAAAACATCTTTACCGCAAAAAGAAGTCTTCTAGAATTACATTGGATGAGGACATTACAAGTACTTTTGAAATATAACTCTCAGTATATATTGTTTTTGTTACTACAACTTTATTTTTAGGTTCATTAAATTTACCGCCTGCACTGAAAAAATCAATATCTAGAGCAATGTTCCAACATCCAGGTCCAAAATTATCTGTTACAATTTCATCAGCCATTGGTGAAATGCAACCACAAATGTTTCCATCATGGAAAACAGGTATTTTATAATTTGAAATATCATAACTTTATTGAAAGTATGTAACTGTTGCATCTATTATTATAATTAATTTAGCTCCAGGTACAAAATTTATATGGCGTGGTCATATAACACCAAGGCCATTTTGGAGTAATGTAATTAAAGCCAGAGAACCTCATATTGTGCGATCGCTGGTAAAAAGCAAAGCTATTAAATTACCACCAGTCACACTGTTCCCCAACATAGAATAAAAGAACAATTTTTTGTGTAACATTCAATACATTTGTCATTATTAACCTTCATAACGGTACAACAACAAATTATACATATATGCATGCAAAAAAACAGATTCCTTCAATTAG